TTCGATAATCGCCACAGTAAGATAGGATCAAAGATTCTAAATTAGAACATCGAGATAGTATGGGAAGCGGTAAGTATTTTTGGGAAGTGCAACCGTCAAATTTCACATGACGCAAGGAACTAGTTTGAGTGGATAAGGAAGCAAATAAGGAAGTGAGGTCATAACGAATTGAACGAAGTTTAAGAGATTTCAGGTTTCTTTGCGCACGAATTAGTGGAGCCCAATCTATATCTTCTAATATAGTTGAACAAGAAAAAATATTGATTTCTTCAACATCTTTGCATAGTTGAGACATGATATCAAGAATGTTATCTTTTACAAAGTCACCACCGATAGTAAACTCACGGATAGAAGAAAGATAAGTATCAGCAAGAGTAAAAGTTGGTAATGAAACGATGTCACGAGAATATCTAGCTCTAGGAGTATACAATTTCAAAGTATCAATTTTCAAGCAAGTTATTCTTGAACGAGTCATTAAAAGATTCCAAAGCTGATGAGCGAGAGTTGAAATGTTTGTTTTTATTATATGTTTTGAAGAATTGAATAATCTGGCATAAGAAGCAGCAGCACCAGGAAAATCGCCAAAAGTGTAATATTCATAGCCATCATCATTATTTTGAGTATCATAGGAAAGATTTGTTATGTCCAAGAATTCACCATTATCAAGATCATTATTATGCCTTTGATTCCACCAAAAGTGTTTAGAAGCTTTCAAAATTTTAGAATAATCTAATTGTTGTAATAAAGCAGCATAATCAAATAACAAAGGCTTTCTTGAAGGAAGGTCCAAATCGAGAGCAGCTATTGCTTTTCGAGCTTCCTGGGTTAATATACTATTTATTAACGATAGTTTTGATTCTTGCGTTAACATATTAATATATGCTTTAACTAATTTGTAACGTTGATGTCTTTTACATATAGTAAATGATTGTTTCCATAACCAAGGAATTGCTGAAGAGCACCAACGCCGGGAGACCAATGAACATGTAAATAAAGTTGATGAATCGTTCTGAAAATGACAAAAGATTTGATCAAGCAATTCAGGGAATAGATTCGCGGCCATTGTTGAAATTTAAAACTTGCTAGTAGAATTAATGTGTGATTCATATTGTTTGTTAGCGTTGTGATTTAAAAATTTAGAATACATTTGTCACACGATGAAAATTAACTATTTGGTACAACCTGATCAATAAAAAAATGAAATAATAAAAATAATAAAAATCACGGGTAATCAATAAAATTATTATTATAACGATAATATTTTAAAATATTTGATATAGAGATTTGATATAGACATAATAATTGACATAAATAATAGAAAAATAGAAAAAACATACCTTATAATAACTACACAACAAAAAAAGATCCAAATCGATAAGTAAATTTAAAACAAGCTGTTTAGAAAAACGATAACCTCAATAAACCCAAACAGCTTTTAAATTAAGAAAGAATCTGAGAAGCAAATCCAGATTTAAGAAGAAATCGCATATAAAAATTTTTTATTATTTATCATATCACTAAATTATTTTACAAAAATGAAGAACAAATAATCGAAGAAGAAGATATGAGATCGCATAATACATTTTGCCTATTTGCATAAATGCGGTTCGGATGATTGAGTATGATTGGTTCATTTTGAAGATCATCTCTTGATTAGTGAGAATCATGGGGTAGCATAATATAAAATAATGATGGGCCATGACACTATTATTTAAATATTAACGTAAGCATCCCAATTGGCAGATCATATGATATACACGACGACGATTCCTAATTTCCGTTAATACCACTCGATGAAAATTTTCCTAAAATAAGTTTAAAAAAGAAAATGAAAAATGAAAATGATGTTATATATTTAACGATCCCAACTATCTCTCTTTTTTTTTAAAAAATGTATTTTTTATTTACATAATGTTGAAATCAAGTATTTATTGTCATCCTTGGTACACTAGCGCTTAGTGTTATTTGTTTTTTTTCTATTATATAGATCATCGATTTCAGATTATCAAATAGAAAATGCTTCCAATTTAAATTCACAAATTAGCGTGAGCATAATATTTTTTTAGACATTTTTGGTAACACATTTTTTCGCCAATACGCAAAATCTCTTCACCAATAAGAACTTCGTAGTCTTACAAATAAATATTTTGAATGATTATAAATAAACCCGTTGACATATCAGGAAACTGATTTTTTTTTTTCCTTTTGGCATTCTGATGTCAGTATTAAATAAGCAATTTATATACTATAGTAAAATTTATTTATAATACGGATATATCTGGAGTTTATATGGTGCTCGTGTGACAGCAGATTTAAATAAATCAAATATAGCGGTTTGATTTGCCAATTTGGAGCGTATTGGTATCGAAACTGATTTTTATCCAAAATGTAATGAATTCTCTTACTTCTTGCTATCCTCTGATTAACATATCAAAATGAATTGGACGTAATGTAAAATCCAAAGTTTATATTGTTTAAAAATCATTTTGAACTTAGAATATTGTTTATAAAATTGTTTTTTTTTTAACAACAAAAATTCTAGATTAAAAAAGTTTCTTTTCTTTTTAACTTTGAGATTGAGCTCGTATAAAAATTTGACTCCGAGTTATCTATTCATTTATAAGACTACTATTCAGATAGAAAATTGATTTATTTACACAATCGCTTTTATTAAATCATACGTATTATTGTTGTTAATTAGTGTATTAAGCCACATGGCTGGCTGGCTAACGCTGACTGCTTATTTTACAAACTTTTTCAATATTGCTTATACTTTAAATTTATTTTATTTATTTATTTATATATTTTTTATTTTTATTTTTTTTAATCTTTGGCAACCTTGCCGGTGATCCTTTATTAAGATTATTGTCTGGAACGAAGTAACAGACTCTAATTTCAATGTATATATTGTAATATGAAAATTATGCATCAAATATTAAAATATCAAAAAAGTAACTTTGCATTTTAAGTCACATGATTTAAGGTTATACAAAATTTTTAGTCTTATTCTACATCCTACAGTACCGGACAGCAAAAAACATCCAATTTTTTTAGCAATTATTTAATATCTAATAATTTTGCTACAAATAATTATTTTACAAATCCCTTTTACAGATTTATTATTTATAATTTAAACTAAAATTTTGTAAGACAGATTTTTAATATCTTGCTTTTTACAAAAGTTATAAGGGATCAAAGTTTGGGAACTTTAATAGTAAGGCAGAAATTTGGCACAAAGAAATTAACCAATCATATTAATGCTAGTCATGTGCTAGCAATTTTATTGGCTAATGATTATTATTAAAAATTGTGCAATCCATTTATACAAGTCACAAAATATTATACAATATGCAAAATGATGCCAATTATACAAATAGTGTTTATGCATACAATCCACTGCAGTTAATATTACTCATTCTTACCAAGACGTGATTACAACTTGTTCTTTTCAAATGCATAACAATTATATAATATGTTTCAAATTTCAATCATGTATATTATAATAATAAAAATGATAAAATATCTAAATTATGTGATCAAAACAGATAATACAAAAGTTAAAACTATTACAATAATAAAAAAAGGTTAGCTAATCTGTGAAGTAAATTGAAGTTTAAAAAGTTTAGACAAGTAAACATGTAAATTATGTGATTAAAATAGATATAATAAAAAAAGATTAGTTTCTTCTTGAAAATAAAAAAAAATTTTAAGAAAAATCAAACTTATGTACATACAAATATATCTAAGTTCAGGCATACTTTTATACATATTAGCATTATTTAGTAAAGATGCAAATCTTAATGTATATAAAAATTATTAATATATAATTATCTTGAAAAAAGGTTAAAAGATCGGTCAAATATAAATAGGCAAGTGATTGTATGTTAAATTTTTCTTCTCAAATAGAATTTTAACCAAATTTTATATAAAATCTTGAATATACAAATTTTTGAATAAATAATAGATACTACTATTTGATTCTAATCCTGTTTCATAATATTAAAAGAAGTGAAATGTGTCTTATACTGTTTTATAATATTAAAAGAATTGTGTATTTTTTGATGTTGCATCTTTGAGCATAGGATTTTTTTCCCAGTATAACAATATATTATATAGGCCAAAATGTAGAATGTATATAAAAGACTTAAAAAAAAAAACAGTGAAATAGTGAACTTTATTTTATAAAAAACATGATTTATACTTAATTTTCCTTATTTCGTAATACCAAAATCAACAATTACTAAAAAGTAACAGCAGAAAAAAGCAGAGGTAGCTTGTTTAGCATGTATATTTTACTCTTTTATTGACTTTAATTCAAGTGAGGAATATTTTGATTCTAATAGTAATTTAAACGAAAGTTCAGATAACAATTTTATAAAGCTAGACAACCTTGATGATGTGAATATAATCATTAAACAACTTCGTGTAGTTTTAATAGTGAAATCTAAAAAAATAGCACTTTTCTGTTTATATTAGAAATTCTAAATATACAAAACAAAGAAAAAAATAAAACCTTTAGAGAAGCAGCTATTGGAAGCTTGAAGATTATGCATTTTTTTCCAATATATAATCACTAATAGTAGATAATAATAAAAATTATAGAGACTTTCAAAACTAGGGTGATCAAATTAGAAGGGTTTTTGTTTAAAAAAAAATCAAAGTTTGATATAAGATTAATGATGTTAGTTAATAGGATAATGATGAATTAGATAACAAATTAGATAAAGAATTAGACGAAAAAAAAATTTTCGTAGCATAATTGAATTTGTAAAAGAAGTAATAAATAATGAAGTGCTTTTAACAACTGAGAAGGCTTGTTATTTAGCAGTTTTTTATTTTCTTTGTTTATGTTTGCAAGATCAAAAAAAAATAAAAGCATCAAAAACAGTTACAGACATTGTTAATAGTGAGCTATAGCTTGTATGCTATATAAGGAAGTAGACGAACATTTGTATTAAAAAGGTGTTAATTCAGCCAGACCTTTGAGGAAGATCCTCTTTAAAAAGCCTGCTTTATAATGAGTTAGTTTCTCTTCAAGTAGCCTCCTATCTGTACTTTAAAAAATTTACTGTAAACTCTATTATAGTTAAAAATTATTTTGAATAAGAAATTCTTCTCTTGCTGAATATTAAATATATGCAAAACATTTCAGTTAAAACAGTGCATCAGTAAATGTACAAGCTTAGTTTTCGTTACCAACAATATTAAAAAGATGTATATGCAGACAGGCACGAGTACTCTGACATTGTTAAATACTGCCAAACTTTTCTCTTAAAAGTTGTCTAATTTGAACAATTTATGTCTAAGTGGGTCAATCTAGAATGCAAAATGAGGACCTTTTCTAATCTACATTGTAATAAAAAGAAACATATATAGGTAACATATGAGGGGGAGTCAATAGAAATGTGACAAATCATTTTTAGTGAATTTTTTTTAATTTTTAAATTACAATTTCTTGACAACTACTTAACTAAT